ACGGTTAAAATAGACAGGTCAGGAGACCTGCTGCACTGAGTCTGCATTCAAGATCTATAATAGACCCGGGGATTGAGGGAGAATCCTGATTTATAGTATTTATATGAACACGATTGTCTTTATAATGATATAAATTGTGGTTATGTGTATATGAAATTACAAATAACAAATGTAGCAGGGCATTAAATTACTGTTTATTTCTTTGCATTTTAACTTTGTAAACTATAAACTCATGCGTCTCCTCACGGTTTGTCTCAATTTGTGAGCTAACTGACAACAACAGTTGTTCGCTCTCCTTCTCCCCTGCTGGCCACGCACACTCCTGCCCTATGCTCGCGGAGCTCCACGCCCATTAATCATGCATCTTTTGAAAAAATTCTGAAGTAGACTTTAACCGAAAGTGGGGGGTGTCATGACCCTTTGATGAAGTGTAAGATGATGGTATAAAATTATTTTCTTCAATAAATAGATTTTAAATGTGTATGTATGGCCCCTGACTCTATTCACAACACTCAGTGCGGCCCTTACTAAGTTTAGATTTGACACCCCTGGTTTAGTGGATTTAGTCAGAACTGAGTTGTGGGCAGCTCCTATGCAAGCTATTGTTTTCAGTCATTCTTCTTACACTTCATACAGTTAACTCACACTGTATACAGAAAGTACATTCCCTTTAATTTTGCACTTAAATATTGCTGGTTAGTTTTGATGATTGAGTTTTTTTGTAGATTAAGATTTGATACTTTTTTTGGTGCAACCAAATGTTTGCAGCTGTTTCAACTGTCAAATAGGCTTGGAACTTTTCAAATGTTTTAATGGTTAATTTTTAATACATATTCACATAGTACAATTATTTGACAAGTACATAAAGTAAAACAATCACTTTAATTGTTCACTGAATGTTACCCTTAAATAGTTAAAGTTTTCTTGATTTTTACCAACAACTGTTTACATTTAATTGTACAAGTTGCATCTACCCTGAAATAAATGTCTGAACTATTAAAATGTGTTCCTATAGAGATAGTTCACTAAAAAACAGAAAATTTACTTGCTATTATTCACTCCTCAAGTGTTTACAAGCCTCAGTGGATTTATTTCTTCTGTTGAACACAAAAGAAGATAGTTTGAGGAAAGCTGGAAACCTATAACCATTGACTTCCATAAAAGAAAAAAAACAAATACTATGAAAGTCAGTGGTTACAGGTTTTCAGCTTTCTTCAAACTATCTTCTTTTGTGTTCAGCAGAAGAAATAAACAAGTTAAGAGTGAGGAAATTGACAATTTTCATTTTTTCGGTGAATTGTCCTTTTGAGTTTGTGTTTCTATACAGTTGGGTGTTGCATTATTGTCAACCTTTCACACAGGCCATAAGTGAAACATTTGAACAATTTTGCAACATTGTTTTATTGAAATGGTTTTAATGTGTTTGTTGCACCACATTGTAATGTTTAGTTAAGTACTCATGCATTAAAGGGCACCTATGGTAAAAAATCTACTTTTCAAGCTGTTTGGACAGATCTGTGTGTTGTTATAGTGTATAGACCGGCATACTGGGGTGATATGAACACACCCAGTCCTTTTTTTTTTTAAATTTAACTACAAAAAAAGGGTCGGCCAATTGGAGCTGTTTTCAAATCGATCGCACCATTACGTAGGTGTGCGATCCCCCCGCCTACCGAATTGATTGACAGCTGCGCGCATTAACATGTTCCGGTAGTCGCGTGTATATGTCAACAAAACCAGACAGACATACGCAAAGCAACCGGGAATAAAAGGTCTGTTCTGTTCGCTAGGATCAGCAATCATCATCAAATGTGATTAAGAGTAAGTTTCACATGTTTAAAGTGTTTTAAAACAGAGTATGTGTGTAATTAATTACAGCGATTTACTTCAGCTTTACTTCATCAGCACAGCCGTGTGTCAGAACAATTATAAAAGAAGACGCTTCAATCCCGGTTTGTGGAAGTTAAATCAGGTTTATTTTGTACATAAGCATAACAGATGCAGCAGTGGAGGTTAGCCTTAACTAAACTAAGCGCGCTCTGTCTGTCTGTCTGCCTGCTTGTGTGTGTGTGTGTGTGTGCGTGCGTGCGCAGGCGCACGCGTTACTTTGTAACGATATTGTGTGTGACTCATCAATGCAACTTCACAATACTGATTAGTAAAGGTTAGTTCTTACTGTAGTATCTCACAAACGCTACGTGAGCCCTTCTTCCTGTAAGTCTGTCTGTTGTCTGACGCAACTGAGGGAGGAGGCATGTAGAAATAGTGGGCGGGAAAGATTCGTCTTAAAGGCGCAGTACGACAAAACCACCCCCTGCTGGAAATCAGTATAAAACAGCATCTTGTAAAAGGTATAATGAAAAATCTGATGGGTATTTTGATCTGAAACTTTATATACACATTCTAGAGACGCAAAAGACTTGTATTAAATCTGAAAAAAGGGGTAAATTAGGTGCCCTTTAAACAACACAACCTCCATATATTGTGTCAAATGTTTTTTGTGGAGAATTCAAGATGGAGTGAGTAGGCTACTACACTGAAAAAAAATTATTTATTGGATTTACAAAAAGTGGTTGCAAACAAATTGTGTGGGCTGAATTTAAACAAACAAATTTAGTTAAACATTACTAAATTTTATTTGTTTGTTTATATTGTGCCTGTATAAATTATTTGCATTTTTGCTTTGCATTTTTTATGGGCCAATCTCACAGCAATTCGTAACTTTTTGATTTAGTGGCTAATTTGTATGAATTTGTACAATTTAATTCGTACAATTTAGTACGATTTGCTCATCCCCCAATGACGGTTGGGTTTAGGGGTGGGGTTAGGTGCCACGCCTCCTTTTTAAAATCGTACAATTTCGTACGAATTAGCCACTAAACTGGCAAAATGTAAAATACTTGCATTTTCTCGTGAGATCAGGCTGGGTATAACACAACATACAGACAACATATCAGTTTACCTGTAAAACCCTTTAGTTTATATTTTAAATATACCTCCCCTTTATACTCTTTTAAGGTGAAACAAATGAAAATTCTATTACTTAAAACTTAAGAGTTTAAACAAAATTATTTTACTTTTGAATAACAAGACTATTTCTTCATAAACTCGCTTCCTCTGTTTCATTTGCATTCAGGTTAGGTCTGAAAGTAATGATGTAACACCACAAAAGTTTTGAAATCATGCTAAAAAGTACATTACTGTAGTTGAGAAAGATGTTTATACATTTAAAAAATAGTCATAAAAATGTATTTATTTTTGTATCAAGTGCATCTTGATGCATTTTTATTCTTATCTCAAAAGCCTTATTTTGCACATGAGGATGGGATGGTCTGGAACAAATTATTCATTCTTTCAGAAAACACAAAGCAACATCACTGTGACTGTGTGTCATCACAAACAAAGAACTATATTAGAGGTTTTTCACTTTAGCTTGAGCACTGTGTCGGACAGACAAGGGATCCTGAACAGAGCCAATATGGACATTAGTATTTTTTAATATCTATAAACAAATGTTTTGAATAACACATATTTGCATATAAGACTACTTGTTAGTGGTAGATAGCTAATACATGATCATTTTTAGCCTATCAAAAACATTTTTCAGAATTTATTTAACATATAACATGTTTAATTGCTACATGTATGGTTGTTTAGCCTGCTTTATCATAGCAAACTATGTGTGTGTGTGTCTGTCGACCTGCTCTCTGAAACATCTAGAATTCTCTATATTCATTATTAAATCATGAATTTTAATATTGCATTACACTATCCTTAAACACAACAGTCAACAGTAGGAGCTTAAGTCATAGTGTATATGTTTTTGACGTTTTCCCCTTGTCAGTTAAAAAGTCCAATAACTGAGGAGATTGCATATAATAATTTGAGAGATTTAAAGGAGGGAAAGCTGTCCCGGGGGAGAGCCCTAAGCCCATAAGATCCTCGAGCCCTGGGCTCCCTTCCGTAAGCATGGCATGAGGGGAGTTTGAGCTCAGGTAAATCTTGATAAACTCCCCCGACTTGTTTCTGTTCTACTGACAGATATAGAGATGGCTAAAGAGAGCTATATGGCTCACTAAGAGCTCGACTAAGGTGCCAATGTAGAATGTTCAGTTTACTTAGGTTGGACTGTAGGAGGAACCTGGGGAAAACCTACGCGAGCACACAGTGAACGAGCAAACTCCACACAAAATGTCCACCGGTTCAGCAAACTTTAACCTGTAACATTCTTGCTTTGAGGCAACATTGCTAACGACGGGGTCACCGTGTGGCCCAATCTAGAAAAAGGGGGAGTAGGGGTGGCAGGGGAATTTCTCAAGACAAAGATAACCGAGGTAAGAAACTCTGGTTATTTATAGTGAGTTAGGAATCATCTGATTGGTGAATCGTCTTAGCTAATGCAGGACCAGTTGTGGACAATCATAACCATGTAATCCTCTCGAAAGTAATTTATAAACAAACCTTACGTCAATGAACAGCCAAACAACATGAAAAAGCTGCCATTTTGAATATACCCATTTTGTGTAGACAAGGCCTCAATTTCGAGGATTCTGCTCTCCATTGTGAAGCTTCATGTGAGTGTTGAGGCTTCTTTTATGTTTAAAGTCTTTTCCACACTCACTGCATCTAAAACGGTCCTCTCCTGAGTGAGTCTTCATGTGTTTCTTAATGGTGTCTTTGCGTGTGAGACTCTTTCCACACTGATCACATATGAACACTATGGTTCCAGTGTGACCATTCATGTGATTCTTGAGGCTAGATTTGGTTGTGAAGCTCTTACCACACTGAACACATGCAAACGGCTTCTCTCCGGTGTGAGTTTTCATGTGGTAATCGAGTGCGTTTTTACATATGAAACTTTTACCACACTCTGTGCATGTATATGGTTTCTCTCCAGTGTGAATCCTCATGTGGATCTCAGGGTCTTGTTTTTGAGAAAAACTTTTCCCACACTATGTGCAAGTAAAAATTCTCTCTTCAGTGTGAGTTCTCATGTGGACTTCAAGGGTGCCATTTCGCTTAAAACTCTTTCCACACTGAGGGCAAGAGTAAGGCTTTTCCCCAGTGTGAATTCTCATGTGCGCTGCAAAGTTTCCTGCATGATAGAAGGTTTGTCCACACTGTTGGCATGTGTACGGCCTCTCTCCAGTATGAATTCTTCTGTGCACTGCAAAGTTTCCTGCATGATAGAAGGTTTGTTCACAGTGTTGGCATGTGTACGGCCTCTCTCCAGTGTGAATTCTCATGTGGGTTTTAAAGCCTTGTATATAACCAAAACTCTTTCCACAGTGTTCACAGGTGAAAGGTTTCTCCATAGTGTGAACTTTCATGTGAACGTCAAGGTTCTGCTTTTGGCTGAAACTCTTTCTACACTGTTTACAGCTGAAAGGCTTCTCCCCTGTGTGAATTCTCATGTGCACCACAAGGCTTCCTGCATGAAAGAAGCTTTTTCCACACTGTTGGCATGTGTACGGTCTCTCTCCAGTGTGAACTCTCATGTGGGTTCTAAAGCCTTGTATATAACCAAAACTCTTTCCACAGTGTTCACAGGTGTAAGGTTTCTCACCTGTGTGAACTCTCATGTGAACATCAAGGTTTGACTTTTGACTGAAACTTTTCCCACACTGTTTACAGCTGAAATGACATCCAGTTTTGGGTTTCCGAGGTCTTCCACGTGAAGTCTTTTTAGTCAGTGTGGGTTTTTCATTAGTCATTAGTTCTTGGGGTTTCTCTAACTGCTGTTTCTCCTCCATTTGATCAGTCTCTTCTTTCAGCACCACCAAGTCTAAAAAAAAAAAGTGAACTTTAGTATGAAGGCCCAAAGGAACAAGCATGAAATGGATGTTTCACCCACAAATAAAAATGACCTTACCATTTACTCTGTGTTATGCAGTTTTGAACTTTTCCTTTTTTCTGGAACACAAAGTAAGTCAATCTCTGCGTTTTCATCTTCTTTTGAATTCAAAAGGATCAAGAAACTCATAAAGGTTTAAAACCCACACGAGGGAGAGTAAATGGTGAGGCTATTTTCATTTCTGCATCAACAATCCCGTTTAAAGGGTTCTTATTATGAACCTTTTTACAAGATGTTAAAGGTTTTGGCTCAAAATAAGATCAAATACCTTGCAGAATATTTCTCTATAGCTCTTTTTGTGCCTGTGGCTTTAAATGCAAACGATCAAATGAACTCGCTCTAGATTAACCGTGTTCATTCATGCGTAACTTCCACTCCATTTAAACATTTTTAACTTGCTTGAAAGACACGATTGAGACAAATCCTGCATGTTGACAGCAAGTGCGCATAATTGACGCTAATATTTTTGAGTTTGCATTATTGTACATAACTTATTCAAATGTTTCCAGTACTGGGTTGCAGCTGGAAGGGCATGCGCTGTTTAAAGCATATGCTGGATAAGTTGGTGGTTCATTCCGCTGCGGCGACCCCTGATAAATAAAGGGACTGAGCCAAAGAAAATGAATGAATGAATTTACGCAAATGCTTAATGCAACGTTTGCTTTACCTGGAGTGATGAGGAGATGGCGAGATGACATACTTTGTTACTTGTTTTCATTCATTTGTATTTTTGTCATTGTTTTATTGCCTTTGTGCATGTTCTGAGGCTTAGCTGAAGACCTACATGATGACATTTTATATACCTGACAAAATGTAGAAATGCTATCTAAAAAGGTTTCCTGCTGTTTGTCCAATCAGGGAGAGTGGCAACGTAAAAATACAAATAATAATGTTAGCCCGGGGTTCGCAAATGTGAAACTTCTGTTAATAAACACCCCGGTTTATATTTTAACCCCAGGTATAGCATGAGCAGTGTGGAACATGATTACAGATAACCCAGGATTCTGTTTATCCATTGTTAGAATGACCCAGGGTTAACAATTTAAAGTGTGAAAAGCCCTAAAACTACTTAGCATCAGCTCTCTGGATAACCAGAGTACAAAGAGACAATTGTCAATCATGTCATAGCAGTGATCAGGGCCCCATTTTAGAAAGGAGGTTAATTGAAAACTCAGAGTATTTTAACCCTGAAATAAGAAAAACCTCTGGGTTTTCCGTTTCAAAATGGCAGGTTTGTCAAACTGGAGAAATCAGGGTAAGTCAAGCCTGTTTCTGAAAGAGAGGTAGTGTTTTGGTCATTCTAAAAAACCTTAACCTTTTCAGTATTAATGTATATTATTAATGACCTCCAGAGTGTCAAGAGCGTTTGTTCTCAGCGTCTCATGGCTTCAAACACCCCCACGTGTTCATTGTGTGTCAGCTTTGTCTTCAAGGCGCGAGTACATTTATTAAATAAAGGAAAGATTGACGCAGCTTCTTCTACTGCAGTAAATTCCGTTTTTACTGTTGATATTTGGTGCCAGTTAATTAGGAAGTGGTGATTTTGTTCTCTTTGATTCGTAGCATGGAAACGCTGATTTATTTGCATATATTTTATGTGATATTCCAGTTTTGCACATAAATTTAATTAATATTTTTGGATGGAAACACAGCTATTGCCTACATTACAGTCACACAAAGAACAAATGTAAGTCACGTACGAGAATGGCTTGTCCTTTTAAAATAAATGTTTTGCTTAAATTCACTGTCCTTTGACATGTACTGTTACTGGATTAATAGGATTATTATTCGTTCTAAAACATTTTTTTAGTTCTGCTTATATTCTAAATGTCATATTAACCTCTACCACTTGATCAATAATAGAGGCAGACAAGTGCACTTTTAAATCTATTAAAACTGATCAACGTGTTTAAAAGTGGGAACATGGGTAAAAATTTAATGATCACACATTACATTACTTATTTTATTATACTTAAATATTTAAATACTTTAAATGTATAATTACGCATTAACTTCAGCAGCTATGTTTTCCCACGCTAACTGTTTTTGTTTCCTGATGCAGTAATGTTACTTTTTAAATATATGCTCATATTTGCAATAATTTTGCATGAGCACATCAAGTTCAGCAGGAGAAAGAAATGCTGATCTCTTTTTTCAGATGTTGATATGGTCACTTGTAATATCTGCGCTCCATTGATAATGCCTTTTTTATATTCATGGTGTGCGCGCTTAACTCTGAGTTGGTCTAGGCAAAGTTGATTGACCCAACTCATATTAACTATTTTGAAACAGAAAACTCTTGAGTTTTTAGTTTCTCTGTAAATCAACTCAGAGTTCAAGTTTAAACTCCGAGTTGGTTGAACCTCCTTACTGAAACAGGCCCCTGATCTCATATGCTATTGTTCTCTTTCGGGAACTCTACGCTGCGTCTCTTTAGGAGACACAATGGGATACCATCCCTCTCTTATAACCTTCTGAAGCACAGGTGTAATCAATCCAATGTAATTGGCGGGACGCAACGTGCGTGTGGCGTCAGACCGAAGGTATAAAAGCTCCACACTCACAGTGAACTTCAGCTTTTTCTCTCTTCACTCTGCGAATGAGTTCGTTGATTTTGAAGCACTCACAGCACTGATAAGACACTACAAAAACCATTTAAACTGAATCAAAGCACACACTTTCATTTTCTATTTAAAAATTTGCAAAATGGAAGACATTTAGATCATGTGTACCGCCATGTCCTCGTTTCCTCACAGAACAGGACACGCATGATTTGTGTGTGCAGTGCCTCGGTCAGGAGCACGCACAGTCAGCCCTTGAGGGGGGTGGCTGTGTGCATTGCGATTCACTTCCTGGTCGAGTGCTGCGAAGTCGCCGCGCTCTGTTTGATAAAGAGCCGGCGGCAGGTGTGCCTCGCGGCACTGGTCCCGCCCGTGCTGAGGCCGAGCGGCGATTAATGTTGTGGGGATCGCAGCTCGATCTGGCAGAGGGGATGGAGACAAGCTCGAGGGCTTCTTCTCCTCCTTCTACTGTGAGATCGAGGTCCAGTCAGCGCGAGCTGGAAGCCCGTTCATCGGCTTCTTCCTCTCGCGCTGATAGGCGGCTGTTACTGCCTCACGGATTCTGAGGGAGTCGAGAGTATGGTGGGCCTTCGGGGCCAAAATGACGTTCCCCCATTATGCCCCGAATATGATGAGCTGGCAGAGGTCCTGGCCAATGTAACAGCTAAATATAATATTAACTGGGAAGTAGAGAGGCAGGAAGTGCGCAAAAAAGCTGGTTTGTGTGATGAACGCATCCTGCCATCACGAGACAGGCCTCTGAGGGGGGGTCTTCCATTTAACAAAGATCTCCAAAAAGAGATCATTTACACTTGGAATAATCCATACACTGCCCGTGTTATAAGCCAGCAGGGATCAATATATTCAGCCGTTGCTGGTCTGAATGAGCACGGATGCCGCACAATGCGAAAATGGAGGAGCATTTGGCGCGCCATTTGCTACCTCAGGCATCGTCGGCGAAGACCCCCCCCCCCTTGCCGTTAAAACCAGTAAAATTAACATCGATGTTAGTCGGCAAGGCATATGCGGCAGCAGGCCAGTCTGTTGGGTGTCTGCACACAATGTCACTTTTGCAGGCATACCAGGCGGACCTGCTGAAGGAAGCCCTTGATAATGATGGGGCGGGGCCCGATACAGTAAGAGAAGTACTTTGGGCCTCGGACCCGTCTCTCCGTGCCACCAAAGAAATAGCTAGATCTTTAGGCCGCTCTATGGCGGCCATGGTGGTAACGGAGAGACATTTATGGCTGAATCAAGTGGACATCAAGGAGGAAGATAAACGAATTTTCCTTGATGCTCCCATTTCGCCCGCGGGTTTGTTCGGCGACTCTGTAGATCGGGTCGCCAAATCGTTTGAGCGGGCGAAAAAGAGGTCGGGCTCCTACGGGAGCTTCCTTCGACCAAAAGGGCATCCTTCTGGGGCTATGCAGCGGGACCAGTCCCAGCCGTCAACCAGCTCATCTGCCCGGTATAGAGCCGAGCAAAAAGAGAGTGTGGCTTCTCGTCAGCCCCCAAAAAGGAAATGGGGTGGGAAACGCTCTCAAGAGGCAAAGACGGTGACATACGGTGGTCCGAGGACCATCGTTGTGAAACGGTCTGGGCCTCAGAAGAAGTCCTAGCACTGGGACTTCTTCGGGCAGCCCCCAACGAGGAGCAAAGGCCACCTCCTCGTTGCCCACAGGGGGTCTATCCACCAACCCTCCCACCGTTGGTGTCATGGAGACCCCCGGCGATATCCACAAACGTTTCATCCCAAAAGTGGTGACGTTAGTGGACTCGCCCCCTCTACTGAGGGTCCAAGAGCAGTTAAATCAAGGGCCTCCTGTGGTGAGTTCGCCTCAGTGCCCAGAGTTAGCTACTCAGGGGAACATAGAGACCAGTCTCGAGAGACTGGTACCCCCTGCAGAAATTTTTGGCAGAGTGGAAACGGCTGCCAAATGTTTCGCAGTGGGTCCTGCTTACCATAGAGAAGGGCTACAGAATTCAGTTTGCTTCACGCCCCTCTCGCTTCAACGGGGTGCTCCATACCCTAGTGAAGCCAGAGCAAGCTCTAGTGATGGAACAAGAAATAGAATCTCTTCTGAGGAAGAGAGCCATAGAACAGATCCCTCCTCTAGACATCGAGTCAGGGTTTTACAGCCGTTACTTCATCGTTCCAAAGAAAGATGGAGGGCTGCGTCCGATATTAGATCTAAGACAGCTAAATCGCTCCGTACAAACACTGAAGTTCATGTAGTGAGTCAACGGATCGTTCCAGAACCGAACAAGTCACAGACTATATTTTTCTTAAAAGATTGGTTGGTGCCTACATGTCTGAGCTTTGATTTCATTTTCAAAGCAATCCACAGGCACCCAGCAAAAGGCAATCCA